TCAGCACAGAGCCCGATGCGGGGCTCGAACTCACGAGCCACGAGGTCATGACCCGAGCCAAGGTCAGACGCTCAACCGACTGAGCCACCCAGGAGCCCCTAAATGTCTGACTCTTGATTTTGGCTCAGGTCACGATCTCCCAGTTCATGGGTTCGAGCTCCACATCGGGCTCTGTGCTAACAACGCAGAGCCTGCTTGGGATTCTCATGCTCTCTGCCCCTCTGCCCCCATCTCTCTCTCAATAAATAAATAAACCTAAAAAACTAATTAGTTGATTAATTTTTAAAATTCTGACAATATCTGATCTTGGAGGGATCAGCTGCCTCTTAGACAAAAGATTCACTCTGCTTTTACTACTGATTTTATCACAGCCTCTAAAAGGACAAAAAAAGTAAGAACTTTTCCCTAGAATAATCAACACTAAAAAAGGTAGACTTGAACTTCCTAAAGTTCTGGTTTTGGTCATTTTAATTAGGCTGTACTACATTTTACTCTAATTTCAAAACAGATTCTGAATTAAAAGATGGTAGTATTACTATTTTGTGGTAATAGAATTTTTTTTTTTGCTATTTTGGTGTGGTTGAATCAGGCTGGCTCCCAATCAAGTTCCTTTTATTAATTATGAAGCTTTAATGTACTTCAAAAACACTCCTTTGGGGTGCCTGGGTGGTTCAGTCAGTTAAGGGTCTGACTCTTGGTTTTGGCTCAGGTCATGATCTCACATGGGATCATGGGATCCCAGGGCTCGTTCGTGGGATTAAGCCCTGCTCTGTCAGTGAAGAACCGGTTTGGGATTCTCTCTCTCCCTCTGTGTCCCTTCCCCAATCACACCTGCTCTGCCTCTCTCTCAAAATAAACATTAAAAAAAATAGGTTCACCCATTCCATCAAGTAAGACACAAATATTCCACCAAATAAGATGCATATTCTCACATTTTTTTCCATCTATGATACTGGTCTGCATTTTATTAATCAATGGCACCTCTGACTCAATAAAATAAGGTCTTGGGGCACCTGGGTGGCTCAGTCAGTTAAGCGTCCAACTTCAGCTCAGGTCATGATCTCATAGTTCACGAGTTCAAGTCCCATGTCAGGCTCTGTGCTTACAGCTCAGGGCCTGGAGCCTGCTTCAGATTCTGTCTCTCTCTCAAAAACAAATAAATTTAAATAAATAAATAAATAAATAAATAAGGTCTTGCCATATTATTTGTGAATTTTAATTACTATTCCAAATTGCCCAACTATTTCCTTTTCTTGGGCATTAGAGTTAATTCTGGTGTTTTCAGTATTATAAATACGATTTTTAGGAATGTCTTTATATCAGTTAAGTTTCTTTTTTTGTTATTCCTTGAAAACATATATTCTGAAATTGGTAATTTTGTGCTATGGATTAATTATTACCATTATTTATTGCAAATCTAAAATCCAGAAAAGGTCAACCAATTTACAGCTACAAATGACTGTAACTGTACTTACTCAACTGTTGCCCTGGTGTAGTTTTCAGGATTATTTTCCTAGTTAATATAGATACATGCCTGAAAGCTGTTGGAATGTGCTATTGGCTGACAAGGTCACAGATTTTTCCACATTAATTTATATGTATATTCCCTTATATACCCAGAATAGAATACTGAGGCTTAACTGAGTATTTTGTATTTTATTTTCAAATCATTTTATTTGGAAAACTTTTATCCACAAGGTTCATTTTTTCAAAGGAACCTAAAAGATTTTTCCATAAACACATGCCTCCCTCTAGTGGACACTAAGTTACTCACATAGCTGTATTCCTGACCTACAAGAAACAAAAGTATTATTGAAGAAATTTAACTGCTTATGAAACTCTTAGCCAATTTCTATAAATAGAAAAAGGTTTTGCTGCAGTTAGAATTAGATTTGATTCTGGGTGCCTGGGTGGCTCAGTCGACTGAGCATCTGACTTCAGC